TTTTTTTTTTTTTTTTTTTTTTTTTTTTTTTTTTTTTTTTTTGCCTGAGGAGTTTTTAACTTTGTAGCCCAAACTGGCCTGTTGCTTCAACTTCTGGAGTTTTGAAATTACAAGCTGTACACCAAGACACCAGGTTTAACCTTTCCACAGGTCTCACACTCAGACTCTCAAGAAAAGCCTCACACCTGCCATTCCCTGAGCCAAACCCGTTTCACTCACTCCACAGCTCCTCAAGGAAAGGGATGTCCTGAGCCAGTGGTAGAGCAGAGCTGAAGGCCAGGAGGGTGGGGAACTGGAGTCCCTTCCCATAATCCCCTTTTAGGCTCTTCCCATGAATAAGCAGATCACAGAGATTTCAAAGCAAAACAAACAACAAAAAGAAAAACAAGACAGTTGAGGTGTTTTGTGGCTAAAGCCTTTAATACCAAAGACAGGTGGATTCCCATACCTTCCTGAATTCAAAGCCAACCTGATTTACAGAATGAGTTCCAGGTTAGCCAGTTACTACTGATGCACAGAGACTGAAAACAAGCAGCCTGGACACCACTCTTCCTGCACATAGCACCCAGCACCTTCCCCAAAGAGTTTAACTGAAGATGAATTCCTTTTTTTTTTTTTTAAAGATTTATTTATTTTATGTGTATGAGAGCTCTATCTGCACATACACCTGCTTGCCAGAAGAGGGCATCAGATCACATTATAGGTAGTTGTAAGCCACCATGTGGTTGCTGAAAATTGAACTCAGGACCTCTGGAGGAGCAGCCAGTGCTCTTAACCTCTGAGCCGTCTCTCTAGCCCAAACATGTATTTCTTAGGGGAGGAATGTTCCAGAATCCTGGCTGTTTTCCTGTATGAATAAATATGATATCTGGAACCCTGGAGCAGCCACTTAAGGAGACTGGTGGTGTCACAGGAAACCAGAGGACCTGACCAATGTGCCCATGTCCCCCTACAGGCCACTGTTGGTGGAACATTTCTATTTGTGGTTGTTAGCCACCAAAGCTCTCCAGTTCCACTCTGATTACATGTGACACACACCCACTTACTTGCATTTTTCCGTTTCCTTTTTTTTTTTTTTTTTTTTTTTTGTCGTAACTTTTCGCAGGGGAATAGTGGTTTGAAAAAAAAAGTAAGCTATTGATATTCTGAAGGACAGTAGAGTATATGAGGATGTGAGGGGAGGGGAGAGAAGACATCAGGCTGGGAAAAAAGACCTGCTGTGCACTTCTCAAGAGAGAACCTTGCCTTGAAATTACTTTAGGTTTTTTGTTGTTGTTGTTTCTTCTTTTCTTTTCTTTCTTTCTTTCTTTTTTTTTCCTGGTGTTCCTAGACAGGGTTTCTCTGTGTAGCCCTGGTTGTCCTGAACTTGCTTTATGGACCAGGCTGGCCTTGAACTCATAGAAATCCACCTGCCTCTGCCTCCTGAGTGCTAGGATTAAAAATGTGCACCCCCAACTCTTTTTTTCCCCTTTCTTTTCTTTTTTTTTTTTTTTTTCTTTTCTTTTTGAGATAGGATTTTCTAAATGGCTCTAGCTATTCTGGGCCTCACTCTGTGAGGCCAGACTGGCCTGGACATAGAGAGATGCCTGCCTGTCTGAGTGGTGGGATTAAAGGTGTGTGCCAGGGGCTGGAGAGATGGTTCAGAGGTTAAGAACACTTGCTGTTCTTCCAAACGTCCTGAGTTCAATTCCCGGCAACCACATAATGGCTCATAACCATCTATACTAAGATCTGGTGTGCAGACAGAATGTTGTATAAACAATAATTGAAAAAAAAAAAAGGTGTGTGCCTTTAAGTACCTGATTTTTGCTTAGCTTGTGCCTAGGTCACAGTATGATGGTAGAGAGCAGAGGGTGATTTTTGGAAGTTGGTGCTCTCTCTCTCCCACCTTGCTGAGGCAGGGTCCCTCTCGTTTCTTCTGCTGTGCTGTGGACGCCAGGCCAGGCTGGCCCAGGAGCTTCCAGATGATTCTTGATGGAGACCACTGCATGTGGCTCTTTACATGGTACTCAAACTTGAGCCTTCAATTTGCACAGCTAATGCTCTTACCAAAATCATCTCCCTAGTCCCACTTCGGTTATGTAAGTGCATAATTTCATAATTTTTTTTGTTTGTTTTTTTGAGACAGGGTTTCTCTCTATAGCCTAAGTTGTCCTGGATTCACTTTGTAGACCAGGCTGGCCTCGAACTCACAGCAATATACCTGCCTCTGCCTCCTGGAGTGCTGGGATCAAAGGTGTGTGCCACTGTGTCCAGCTTCATTTCATGATCTTTACTAGGTAAAAAAAGGATATGAGGTGGGGAGGAAGGAGGCTGTGGAGCTCCAGAGGGTCAATTCCTGGGAAACCTTCAAGGCAAGGCTTTTAGCAAGGTCAATAATTTGGAAGGGTTCGGGCTGTCTTGGTATCTGGGCATGTTGAAGTCAATGAGGGAGCTGGGGCATGACTCAGTCAGTAAAATGCTTGCTCTGCAGGTACAAGGACTGAGTCTGAGCCCCGGAACCCGTGCAGCAAAAGCCGGGCATGATGGCCCACATCTTTAATCTCAGCACTACGGAGGTGGAGACAGGTGGCTGCCTGGTGCTCACTGGCGAGGCAGCCCAGCTGAATCGGGTTGCCCTGGATGCAGTGAGGGACCTGTCTCAAAAACTAATAAGGTGGAGAGCCAACAAAATGACTCAGAGGGTTAGAGCCAGCATGGGGACCTGCCACACCTGGAACCCACACAGAAAAGCCTGATGCAGCGGCATGTATGTATTGTTCCAGCACTTCAACGCTGAGGTAGGCTGGGCATGGCGGCCCACGCCAGCACTCTGGAGGCAGAGGCAGGTGGATCTCCAGGCCAAGGCAAGTCCAGGCCAGCCAGGACTATTACACAGAGAGACCTCATCTCAAAAACAAACAAACAAACAAACAAACCCCATTGAGGTAGGAGGGGACAAAAGAGTCACCTGGAAGCCCTCGGGTCACTTGACGAGTTCCTGGACAGCTGGGACTACACAGAGAAACCCTGTCTTGAAAAAACAAAACCTCAAATACCCACCCCACCAAATAAATAAGGTGGAGAGTGACTGAGGAAGACATATGCTATTGACCTCTGGCCTCCAAACATGTGGACATACAGATGTGCCCATACACTAAAGATTTAATGATATTCATTTCTTTCTTCCTTTTTCCCCTTCCTTCCTTCCTCTTTCTGTTTTCTTTCTTTCTTTCTCTCTCTCTCTCTCTCTTTCTATCTTTCCTCGAACTAACTGTATACTAGGCTGGCCTTGAACTCACAGAGATCTGTCTGCCTCTGCTTTCTGAGTGCTGGGATTAAATGCACCAACACTGCCCTTCTTTTTCTTTCTTTCTTTCTTTCTTTCTTTCTTTCTTTCTTTCTTTCTTTCCTTCTTTCCTTCTTTCCTTCTTTCTTTTTTTTGAGATAGGGTTTCTCTGTGTAACCCTTGGCCGTCCTGGGCTCTCTTTGTAGACCAGGCTGGCCTCAGACTCACAGAGCTCCACCTGCCTCTGCCTCCTGAGAGCTGGGCTCCCAGGCATGCGTCACCACAACCCGCTAACCCTGATTCTTATTGCACCATTACGGCAGTTCCTCTCTAAGCTTTGAGGAGAGAGAGGGGCTTACCTGTGCAGCCCGGTCAGGTCTAGAACTTCACAGTTCTAGGTTGAGAACTTGTTGCTCGTTCCTAATGCTCTCCCTTAACCTCGAGGTCTCATCCCAATCTCAAGGTGCTCTTGAGGGCAGCGATGTCTTCTGACGCGACCCGCTGCTGCATTTTTTTTTCTTTTTCTTTTTTAATAACAGGAAGCTGATTTCCCTTCCCTGTCTGGGATCTCTTCTATTCTGGACATTTCCTAGAAAGGAATGGTGTGTATGTGGCTTTTTCTGTTGCCTTTTTCCCTTTGGCGGCCCGTTTTCAAGGTTTGATGACGAACCTACATTTTCTCACATGTATTGAGAGATAGGCCACAAGATCAAGAATAGAGGCCCCTGTTGCCAAGCTCCACCGACTGCTCCTCATGCCCAACCCAACGGCTGCCTGAAGGTTTTTGCTACACACACACACACACACACACACACACACACACACACACACACAC